AAAGAAGAAATCAAAAATCATAATTCAAGTATATTTTAGAAAATTAATGGTTGTATCAGTATAACATTGAAACTCAAGATACTTTGTCAAAGATTTACTCATAGGATAAAACACAGCTTTAAATATTTCATTATTATTAATCAAGAAATAATGAAATTATGTTAACTAAGCATTCAACTGAAGAAATAAAAAAAATAGCACCTTACTCTTTCCTACTCTATGCTGTCTCCCCCAAGTAAATAAATAAATAGAGAAAAAGAAAGCAGAGGAAAGGAATTGAAAAAATAAAATTATGAAATGGAAGGGATAGTAAAACGAGATAATGGGCAAACACAATAATAAACAACTTTCAATGTAGATAATGATAATAAAAGAGGAACACAAATAGGAGTGAGGAGGTGAAAAAAACTACAGATACAGAAGAAATATTAAAAGATGTTAGATAATACAGTGTACCAAACAGATAATATATTTTGGCGAAATGGAAATATTCTATAAAAATTGGTAAAAACCAATACTAACTCATGAGGAGTTTAAAATTTTTCATGGAAGTAATTGTGAAATTTACTCTTAAAGTTGTTAAAAAAAAATTATTGCCCAAAGGAAATTCTATTTAATGCAATTGGAGAAGAGAGGATGAAGTAAGGTGAGATATAGAAAAGGAGGCAAAATAAAATAACAAGTCATATAATTGTTTAATGGAAAACCCCAAAAGAATCAGCAGAAAGTACCTGTCTAAATAACAGTTTTTAAAAAATACCTGGTTATCAAATTATTAAGGAGAATTAACTTTAATATATGTCAAGACAAATTGTTAGAAAATAAAAATTTTTTAAAATTCTTTTACCCTAGTAACAAGGAATAAAGTTGTCCAGAAATACGTACTATCTATATAAGGAAAACTATAAAATTCTATTCAGTAACTTAAAAATCATTAAGAAGTTAAGTAACATTTCCTGAATAATTACAATCTATTTTGTAAAATATTAACTCTATCTAGATTATATTTATATCAATTTTAGTACATTTTTTAGTAACATTGAAGGGGGTGGGTTTGTTTTTGATCGGTACATAAACATTTACAATATTGGCATCTGGAAGATATAAAAAGAATCAGAGTTGATGGATATAGAATTGCGCTATCAGAAATTAAAATTATGTCGTAAAAGTAGCATTTAAAAGTATGATATATGTGCTAGAAGAGATGTCAAGATTAATGGAACCAGAGTAGAACGTCTACATACAGACCCATATCTGGTATATATAAAATTGTGTTACTGTATATAATAGAGAATATTTCATTGCTTCTAAGTAAGATGCTGTTGGTTGAAAGACACCATTTTATGTATCTTCAAGAAAGAATGGCTTCAGTTAACTGTGACAAGCTATTGATTATAAAATGCATACTGATTTCAAAAATATTAAAATGTGGAAAAAGTATATAATAGTTTAAATAAATATGAATTTAGTATATGATAACATAATTCAGATCATGAGAGAATGGGTAAACTACTCAGGTGTTTTAAGAATCCAGTAGCAATAAATTGGATTACAAGGTTAAATATAATACAGTGAGTCTATAAAAGTACTAGGGAAAAAATATATGTTTATATATAATCTTAAAATGGGGAAGCCTCTTTTAAAAGCAAGGCACTATAGTTGAAAACTGTAAAGATTATTATTTTGACTCCTTAAAACATTAAATTTTTTATACATCAAAAACCTCACTGACCTAAGATTATAGACAAATTACAGGTTCAAAAAAAGAGAAACATTTGCAAGATAGGAGATAAAGATGGGTTTTACATATTAATAAGACAGGATGCTAATTCTGGAATCCATGTCCTGTGGTAGTGAGAACATAAAACTACAAGCAGGATATAAGCATTGACCCCCTGCTATACCAAAAAGCCAAGAGGAAAACTGGTTGGTAACAACATTTGATCTCTGGAATTATGGAAAAGGAAGTACAACTTGTGATTTTAGAAGCCATCTAATCCCTTCAGTGTAATTTGTAATTTCCAGCAGTGCCTTCAGTGCTGATTAGCTCTCAGAGCTGCTCTGATGACCACGTGAAATAATGTCTGTACAAGCACTTTGTGAACTCTTATAGGATTAGGAAACACTAATATTTTACTGTCTAACTCTACTACTTCTTGGCTTTCCCCTAATATGTTTTCGAATATTGTTTTATTTTATGATTATACTTATTAATTGGTTTTTGCTGAATAGTTTTCTTTTATTTTTGTCTTGTATTAACTGCTTTGTTTTTATATGTAAATGATTCTGATTTTGTGTGGCTTGCTAGTAGCTGTGGCATCTCAAATTACCAGTTTTAAATTTCATTGTTGTACTGTTTGTCCACTCTTTCAAATCATTAACCAAGAAGTTATGAAAACTCTATCTGTAAATGCGCCTAAGCTTTTAATTTGTTCAAGTGAGGAACCCCATTTGTTACAAATCATCTTCTTCATAGTTTTTTTTTTTTAATTGGATATTTTTGTTTGATATAATTAGATTTTCTGAAGGGTATAAAGACATTAACAGGATTATCATGAATGCAATATAAATATGGCTGTCCATTCCACTTTCAAGGGAGAATAAAATTATATGCCTTAATTGATGATTTGTCTTCAGTATCCCTTTTCTTGCCCTGGGCTTAACTCTGTCCATCTATATCTATAGTTGTTAATCATAACATAGACATACTTAGCTGTTCTGCTCTGAGCTGCGTTTGTTACAGCAGACTCCTGATATTTGTACACTTAACATTCCATTTAAATGACTTGTGAGCAATTACAGAGGTATAATTTAATATTTTTTAATGTATTCATTCAGTAAATTTTGATAAGAGCATAGATTTAAACTGCTATATGGGAGACTTACTGAGCTGGGTCATAAGCCTAGCAGACTTCCTGATATACACATCTCAACCCCTATTTTTGTACTTTCTTTGCTATACATGTGGTAATTCTTATGAAGTAATAAAAAATATTGTTTATAAAAAATTGCGATCAAGTAGGAGAAAACCTTAGTAAAACTGAAAGCCGATTCCATGTGATGTGAGAATTTAAGAGCATGAAGAAGCACATGACTCTCAAGAAAATGTGATTTGGAAGACAGCCAGAGCCTATGTAAACAGTTCCGTATTTATAATTTGGGGATTCACAAAGGTTCATAATCCTTGTGTTTTTACCATACATGGGATAGGGGCTTTTAAGATAATGAATGCTGATTGTCATTTAGGATGGGACTTTTACTTAGTGTCCAAATTCATTATATCTCATTTAAAGTTTTCCTTGATAATGGAAGTGCTAGAGAAGTAATTCCTGCAGATAGATAGATATGACAGTTAGATACCTTTACTGTCTAAAGGAGACAAATGAAAAAAAGAGCAAAAAGGAGAGTACAGATCATTAATAGTGTTAAAAGTAGAGTAAACACCAATGGTGATAAAGGGACTTAGTGTGCAACCATGTATCATCACAGACTCTGAAATTCTTTGGTGCTCCAGGAAAAATAAGGGTTAACAGACTAGTCTTCATGGGAAAGTAGTTTGGGTCAGAGCTTCAATCCTACACTCTTTCATTAACTCAGAAAACATTTTCTTGAGTTCCTACTATATGTCAGGCATTTTGCCAGCTGAAGAAGTGGAACTGAAAAAATAAAATGAAATCTCTAAGCCCAAGATGTCTGCAGCCTAGAAAGAGAAACAGAAACAAAATCCACCATGTTACACCAAGTGATCATGTTGAGGGCGTAGAAAGGAGAAGTGCCTGCCTCACCTGGGAAGTGGGAGGCCTCCAGGAGCACACTGTGAAGGAGGTGTAAGGACCAACTGGGAAGACAGGAAGGAGAGCAGTGGGGAGCAGTACAAGCCTGTGGAAAAGCAGAGAAAAAAGTGTGGGAAACCAAGATGCAATCAGGGCACTGCTAGCAATGATCTGGCAGGGGAAAGGGCAGCATAGTGTGTTGAAAAGAGAGTGGCCTTTGGGGCTTGGCTGAGCTGAGGGTTGAATTTTAGACCCATGCGTGCCAGCTAAGTGGCTTTGAGCAAATGATGTAAACTTTCTATGACTCAGTTTTCCTCATCCATAAAATGGGATGGTCACACCTACCTCAGTATAAATTGTGAGGATTAGAGGTCATGTGTCTACTAAAGTATTTAGCATAATCCTTATCTTGTAGTGGGCACATGGTGGAAGTCTGTTATGATATATTTGAAGACGGAAGTGATAAGGACTTTAACAATACTTTGTTTTACCCAAAAAGTGGGCTGGATCACCAAACTCCTCACAGAGAAACTATTAGGCTCAGATTTCCATAAACAACCAGTTTGATAAAGATTTATCATAATGTTGGTGTAATCTTCCATTCTTGTTGACTATATGTTTGACTTTCTAAGTTAGGATAGGTCTTAAGGGGTTATGATTTTCTTCGAAGATTAGATCTGCCTTTATTTCTAAGTAAATAGTCATTTTTATTTGCATAATTATTTGTAGTATCATAAGTTGTCTGCAAATATGATTCTCCTGGATGCAGAGGTGCATATTTGAAATATGAGACTATGTGAATAGGCATATTTTTGCATCCTAATTGTGTTTTTTAACTTCTGGCTTCTCAGTGAGGAAAGGCAGTCTGTGTGACCCAAAATTCTGATGTGCTTCAAAATTGTTCCATTGGCAAGTATACAAAAATCCAATTAGTTACCAAAGGACAAATTGTCTTTGGGGACTCAACCGACCAAGTCTTGAAGAAAATTAGTACTCTAGGATTTTCTGAACATAGGCAATGTACATTTAGGACTATGTGAAACTAGTTCTCATATAAATTAATTCCGTGTACTTCTTTAGCTTATATTTGTGGGGGTTTGTCTGCTTATTTGGAGATGCCAAGCATTCCTAAGAGAAAAGGGTAAGATAATTTGGGTATGTATGTTCAAATCAATAAAAGCTATGACAGTTAAAATAATATATGCTCAATTTCTTGGATCATTATAGGGGTTTGCCAACTTGTTAATAAGATGGAGGAGAATACTGGCAAGGTTAAGCCTTTCAACCGAAATGATGAACAGTTTCTGGAAGCTTTTGTCATCTTTTGTGGCTTGGGGATCCAGAACACACAGATGTATGAAGCAGTGGAGAGAGCCATGGCCAAGCAGATGGTCACGTTAGAGGTGGGCTGAAGTTTACAGGACTTCTCTACAGCCAGACACTCAGCTTTTACCTTTCTCTCATAACAATTCATGGTGTGGGTTTATTATATCACTGTATCTTCTGACTTTGATGATGAGATCGTTATCACATTTAAACAGCAAAGGAAATTAAGACCCAGAATATTTTAGGAACTTAAAGGTCATATGACCAAACCAAAACTCAGGCTGTCTGTCTCTTCAGTCCTCTGCTTTTCTACAGAAAGCAGTCCTTGACTTTAATGATCCATTCTCACAGATGTCTACTGCCTCTGTAGCCCATCTGTCCCTTCCTCATTGCCTGAGCCTCCTCCCCATCTCCCCATGAGAACAGTTGTGAAAAAAAAAAAAATGGAAAAAATACCAAAAATCAAAAAACCAGAAATACTAGGCCCTCTTAAGAGAATTAGAAGTAAGGAAAAGAAAATTGATTAAAATCAGGAATAAACTCCTGTAGTAGCTACTTCAGAGTTATCTCGGAAACTCTTTCAAGCTACAAATTTAAGGACTCCACTTCTGAAAATTCTGATTCAGGAAGTCTCGGGTAGAGGCTGGGAATCTGTATTACCATAGAGCTCCCTAAGCGATTTCAAATGTGTAGGCAACACGTGAACCATTGACTTGGAGGAACTTAGGCAGGCTCCTTCCCAGACAGGACTAGCCTACCCAAGTGGGGCAGACCTTTCCACATAAATTTCACTAACTGCCTTGAAAATGTTCACTTCATATAACATGGAAATTTCTTACGTCATAGACCAATTTAGGGAAATATACATCAGAAAGTGCAAATATCTACTTAGTCATTCATACGCTGCTGTAAATATATTTGAATATTTGTCTACCTCATACCTAGTTGAGATCAGTGGAAATCAGAGTTTGGGATATAGTAACATTTACTCTGTTCCCTCATAAATAAGTAAATACCTAACCTAAAGAGCTAGAAAGATATACATTATATGTCAACATTTACTTAGTAACCAAGATGGAACACTTTACTTTCTAAGCTGAATATATAACACTAATAGGTTTGCTAAAGTATTACATAAAAGATCTTGGATTATAAACCAGTGGAAATCTGTTTCAAATATATGTACATATAGTTACATATGTATATATGTACATATAGTTTCAAAGCTATATATATATATATATAATTTTTAACCTAATTTTTTTCCAGTTCCATGGCTTTTCATTAAAAAATTGAATCTAATCCAGTTATCACTTAGAAAGCATTTGTTTAATTTTTTAAATTTTTTTATTATGGAAAGTTTCAAACATATACAAAAGTAGGGAAAATAGCTTAAGGAACCCTTATGTACTAATTAACCATCTTCAATAATTATCTATCCATGGCCAGTATCACTCCATCCATTCCCACATTCTTGTTCTCCTCCCACTGGATTATTTTGAAGCAAATCCCAGGCATCGATATCATTTTGTTCAAAATCTCTGAATATTTTCCTGATTGAGATTTATTTCTATTTTTTACATTATCACTCTCTTTCAGCTAAATATATGGGTAGCTGTGCTTTCACCTAGTATAAAAAATTTTCAGTTTCAGGTCATTATGTGAAGTCATTTCTGTGATCACAGGTTCAACCTTGAAAAAAACGTTCCTTTCTTTATGAGGCCATTGGAGAAAAGCCAAGGATGCAAACCCCTCAGGTCTTCTTAAGACAATGAATTATTTCGAACTGGAATTCATGATCATTATAGTAACAATAAAACAACAATAACAGTGAAAATAGCTAAACTTTATCAAATGCTTCCTCTATAATCTAATGCTTATGTGTATTAACAAAATCAATCCTTATGCCCTATGAGTAAAGTGCTATTTTTATCTTCAGTATGTGAAAAAATTAATTTTTTGAACTTAGTGTTATGTCATTCCTTTATTCACTTATCCTGGTTGCTAATTAATATAAGACTAATCCATGGTCACAGTCTTAGCCTTTCTCAACAAACTACCTCTACGATATCAGTAGCAACAGATTAGCAGCCATGACCTATCATTTTCACAAGAGCAGGAGATAGCAGCTCTGAGTTTCCTGAGGTTTCCTGAGGTTAACCAGTAATCAGTGGTTCGAATGCTAAGATAGATCCAGTGTAGCACAATATTATAAATATTCTGAATCACTAGATAGTAGACATATATACCATTTGGCTTTAGATTTTTAATTGCTTAAAATTTTAAAGACTGGCTCAAGGAAAACTAGTTCGGACTATTGGATTAGTTGGCTCACCCTTTAAAGTCTGAAAATGGGTTACCTTTTTATCAGTGACTTTTTAAATTTTGGGGGGTTTTTGTAAATCTGTGTTGTCTCCATCAAAAATGAATTTTATAAAATATATTTTTAAGACATGATAGGCATTTCAAATACAACCATTAACTTGGTTAAAAGGAGTATCTAAAATACTGTCCCATTACATAGAAGTTACTACTTTTGAAAATTGATGCTCATGTTAAGTTGGTAAGAAGATAGTAAGCCTGACATTTTAACTCTACTAGGTAACAGAAAGTATACTATGTTAGGAGTGGAAAGCTGGGTCCTAGGCCCCCTCGTCCTCTCACTAGGCGTGAGCTTGCAGCCAAGTCATAAGAATCTCTGAGCCTCTATGTCCTCAACTGTAAATGCGTGGCTTTGTAGGCCAGCACTACTCTTCGCAGCTCTTGAATTGTATGAGTGTAAAGGGATTTCCAAATCTGTATGGCATTATATACCAGCCATGCAATTTTCCTGTATGAATTCTACAGTGGTTATAGGCCTAATCTGAGAGCCACTACTTTCTTTCCAAATATCAACATTAACATGTCAGTTTATACAAAGTTTTTTTTTTTTTCCTAATTCTGTACAAAAATAAAGTTAGTATTTTATTAAAACACAATGCAAATTTTCTGCCAAGTTTGAGCCAACAGTTATTTCTAGGGTGGCTGTTAGAGCAATAATGTAAGAATGGAAGTTGCAAGAGTTTTTTTTGAACAAAGGGAGTATAACTTTTTATTTTCTGAAACAAACAATGGAATATAAATCTGTTGAAGAAAGCAGCAAACAGGATTTGACATTCTGAGGAGTCTAGTTATCTCTCCAAATAGTTTTAGCAGAATTCCAAGTTTGAAATCCTAATTTATTTACATTCAGTAGTCCTCTCCTGTGTAACCTGGACCCCTTCTTCTCTTACCCTGTAGGTTTTGTCATATCATGCTTCAGCGGCAGAGGAAGAAACAAGAGAGCTCCAGTCTTTAGCGGTAATTCTCATCCTCTTTCTTTTTAAAAATTACTAACTACAGACATTTAATTAATATATAAATATGCTTTTCTTGGGCTATCTGCATCTACTAGTATTGGTTCCCTAGACACTTAATCAAATTTGGTAAATATTTAGATGGACAATCATAAAAATATTTAATCACCTCTACCTTCTTGCATTGGTACACAGTCACTGATAATACAGCGCAAAAGATAATAACCTACATTGACTTCGTAATAGGTAATTATGATTTTTTCTTCTAGTAATTGTTATAATCTTTACCTCTTTCTTAAATTTAGTTTTCAGTTCCTAGACAAATGGAGGCAGGTGACTTACAAGGTGGTTATTTGGCTAAATAATGACAAAAAAGAACTTATAGTTTGTTTCTGATAACCTACTCTGCATTATCAAGAATTGAGAGTGATCTTACTTTCTGACCGTATGGTTTATGGAGTGGTGTTTGAAATTGTGTTCAAATAAGGTCAGTTCCTGAATTCTCATTACATTGTTATTTAAGATACAATGAGAGATAAAACCCATTGATGTGTAAGTAGATATGTCATATGTTCTAGGTCTTGGTTGGGATTGCCTTGATTGAGATTAATGGGTTTAAGATAAAACCCATTGATGTGTAAGTAGATATGTCATATGTTCTAGGTCTTGGTTGGGATTGCCTTGATTGAGATTAATGGGTTTAAGATAAAACCCATTGATGTGTAAGTAGATATGTCATATGTTCTAGGTCTTGGTTGGGATTGCCTTGATTGAGATTAATGAAAATTTGAAGCACTTATACATTTGCAACCAAGGCTGGCCTTCTGAATTTAAATTTATTTGAGATAACATAACATAGCAAAGGTCTGCGTGTGATGTGACAATAGTTAAGGAATGGAAAGTGTGAACAGATCATTGAGATTCTTTTTTATTGTCAGCATCATCTAGCTTGCCATATGCTAAATTTACCCTTTATGCCCTTTCGTACATTTTCTTATATACACTGTACAACTATGTTATGAAGGCAACACTATAGCCAAGAGAAGCCAAGTGGCATGCTCGAGGTCACACTGCCATGATGTGGGAGTCACGGTACGAGTTCACAGCCTACTTCCAGATCCTATGTACATAACACTGTGCTATCTGTTACGAGCAGATATGGAGAGAGAAGATCAAAGATGACTCATGTTTTGACCTTGGTAATTCAAAGAATGATGGTGACATTAATTAGTAAAAGAGGAAATATTAAGAAGGTAGATTTGATTTAGGACAAGATAAGTTTGAAGTTCTGGTGGAGCAACCAAGTGGATATCTTCAACAATCAAAAAAGGCAGGACTAGATTGATAAGGAGGTGGTGGTCAGAACTAGAGGTGGAGACTTGGCGTTAACATCCCATGGGAGTGAAATCATGCGAATGGATCAAATGGGAGAGAGTGCTGACAGGTATGTGAAAGATTGAAAACAAAACTCTAGTGGATATTGGTTTAGATGGAAGGAGCAGGAAAAGAAACCAGCTAAGAAGGAAGAGAAGTGGTAAACAGGAGTGAAACTGCTAAAGGTAAAAATAAGTGGTGAGAAAATGGAGGAAATGAATATAGACTTTTTTTTAAATTAGTTTTGTGTAAAAGAGAAAGAGAGTGGAAAAGTAACTATGAAGTATGTTGGCTGAATCATGAAGTTTTTTGTTTGTTCGGTTTGGTTTTGAGTTTGTGAGCAGGGGTTGCTCACAAGCAAGAGAGCTAGAATTTTCTTGGACAAAGGCAGAAGGTACAGGGGTGAGTGTGAGACTAACAATGCAGACGGTGAAGGGATAATGGACCTTGTAATGTTCTAGGCATGAGAGGATCATGGCTTTTGCCAAAACAAAAGGCTAGAGATAATAATAATAATAGCTACATTTATTGAGCCCTTAGCATATACCTGGCTTGTTTTAAGTTCTTCGTGTATGGGAGCAAAGTGTATTGAATTCACAACAACCTATATCATCAGTATTATTAGTATTTTGTAGAAGGGAATTGCAATTTAGAGAACTTAGATTGTCCTTAGATCTCACAGGTTGCAAGGGATAGTGCCAGCACTAAATCCAGGCAGTCAGAGCCAGAGTCCACACTCCAGCCTAGCACTGGAGAGATAGTGAGTTAGAAAGGAAGGCAGTAAAATGAAGAATTGTAGACATTTTCAGTTCAATCAGTGCATAGAAAATTAAGTCCTTTGCCAAGAACTGTTCAAGGAACTTTAGATATTTTCATCTGAAAGCTGGAAATTATCACATGAAAAGATACATGTTGAAGTGCTTGCAGGCACTGTGTGGTTATTGATTTAGTTCTAAAATGAAGGCAAGGCTACACTCTGCATGTGTTGTTTTAGATAAATAAAAACTAGCAAATAGAGTAATTTCTAAAGATAATGCTAAAAAAAATCACTAAGATATTAAACTTTGTTTTTCATTTCGAAAATAGTATAGTCTTTCAGAAAAATCTGAAAATTATCTTCTCAATTATGTTTATAATTTTAGCAAGAGAAAAACACTTTGGAATGACTGAAAATTGCTATATTGCAGTATTGTTCAAAACCATCTGCTTTTCCATTTGGAAAATAGATTCCTGTCAGCTGCACTGAGAAATTTAGGGTTACATATCTCATTGGTCAAGTAATTCATTTAAATTGGTTGAAATTCAGCAATTTCAATTCTAGTTTTCTATCAACTGAATAAAAATTCCTGCACAGCCCCAGCTGCACAGGTGTCTGCATCATCTAGCAATTACCAAAATGGATGTCTTTGTCGTGTCTGATTGTTTATCTCAATTTAAAACCTAAAATAAAGAGCTGTCAAAGATTTCCTTAACTTTTATTTTTGAAAATTTGCTCTTAAGAGAATTAATGTACTTAAATATATTAAATATTTATGTCTGTGTCCAGAAAAGTTTTCTAGTAATAATAATTAGTTGATAGGAAATTCAGAATTTTTATTTTTTCCCTTTTGCTTTACCTGAATTTTTGTCCCACTTTTTTGTTTTGTTTTGGGTTTTTCTAATGAATTTTTTTATTAGCTTATTCATTATTACAAATCATATTTATTCTTTATGCCCCTTATCCAATCTTTCCCCTTTCCCCCTTCCCCGTCTAATAACCATACATTTGTTCTCTCCATCTGATAACTTAACTGTTCCTCTGTTGGTTTGTTGCCTAGATGATCTGTCCAGTATTGAGACAGGTGTGGTCAGGTCCTCCCCTATTATTGTAAATCAGATGCTGCTTCTGTTACTCTGGAGTGTGCTTTGTGAAGAAAAAGGACCTCTTCTTTTTTTTTTTCGGTCTCCACTGGTGCCTCTCCTTATGTTAATGAAGTTGAGAGTCTGGCGTGCTATCTGCACAGTGACTATGACTGCTGCTATAGAGACTGGCCGCTTTTATGGCAGCCTTGGCAGTTGCAGTGGTTATGGTGGGCTACCTGTGTGGAAATGGTGTTTTTGGTGTGCTCTTTACCTGGTTGCAGCTGGGTTCGGCTTCCCCTGGCTCCATGCATCATTCTTTTTTTTTTTTTTGTCTTTTGTCTTTTTCCATGTCCGGCAACAGATCGCAACCCTCAGTGTTGCCCCCGTACCGGACCGGGGACCGGCAACGGGATTGCAACCCTCAGTGTTGCCCCCGCGCCTCGCTCAGCCAGTGAGCGGGAACCGGTCTGTATGTGGGATCCGAACCCTCAGGCGGGAGCGCCGCCACGCTTCCCAAGCAGCGCACTTATCCAGTGCGCCACCAGGCCGGCCCTCCATGCATCATTCTAAGATGTTGTGGAGCAGCTGAGGGGGAAGAAGGAAAAGGAGAAGGGAAGGGGGAGGTGAAGTAAGATGGAAAGAGGGGGATATAGGGGGAGGTGATCAAGGCCTGTGGCCCCCCACTTATTCTGGGAGGGGAGACTGGGGGACTTCCAGCAGTGGCTGGATCATTGCTATAGATGCAGATGTCAAGGAGATGTGGCTGAAGCCCTTAGCCCCCCTTAGGAGGGATGGGTGCTTCGTGCAGCAGCTAGGTGGTCTTTGCTGGGCTCATTGCGGATGTCAGGGGTATATGGCTGAGGTCCTCGGCCCGCCCAACTTGGGGGGCCAAGGGAACTTCCTGTTGTGGCTTGGTGGTCATCCCTGGGCTGGTTGTGGATGTTGGGGAGCATGGCTGAGGTCCTTGGCTCCCCATCACCCTGGCTCAGGAGCCCAGGGCACTTCCTGCAGCAGCTTGGTGGTTGTTGCTGGGCTGGTTGTGTGTGTTGAGGGGGCATGGCTGAGGCCTCATCCCTCCCTGCTTCCTGGCTTGGGAGCCCAGGGGGCTTCTGGTCCTTCTAGGTTTTATAGGGGTTCTTTGTTGGTGTTAGACCTTTACTAGTTAATATCAAATTTTGTCTCTAATCTGTGGGTATTTTGTTTTTTCTTTCAGTTCCATGTTGGATTATTCACTGTTCCCACCACTTAAACTCTGCAGTGGAACTAATTTGTTGTCCTTTGCTTACTTCTAAAATACGGGAACTTCTTGTGGGGACCAGCACTAGAGTCCTGTGGTTGAGCTAAGCTAAATTGCTTCATTGTTGCTGATTCCCTGGGAAAGGTTTTTTGTGCAGCTCAGGTTTTAATGGTTGACTTTGTATGTACTTCTGGATCTTGTGAGGTCTGGTACACCTGGGCTATGTGGAAACTCTGGTCTGGGCCTGAGTCTTTTCAGCAAAATGTACTCCCTGCAGTTCTGTATTCCTGACCAGTCTCCACTGAGTGGTCCTGTGCTGACTGGAGGGCAGATCAGCTGTCCTTGCTATGCCCCAATGTTCCCCTGGTGGGCCCAGCTCCCCCACCACCTGCACTCCAAACACTTCCCGGGGATGGGCCGTGCACTGGTTCCTTGCTATTTCTCACCAGCCTCTGAGTGGTTCCTTTTTTCAGTTGTTGTGACTCCTTGCTCCTGTGTGGGTCCACAGGAACCTTGTTAGTGGTCTTACTGGCCTGCGGGCCAGCAAGACC